TGAATTTTTTGAAAGAAATAAATGGTCATCAACCTTTTTAAACCCTAAACACAAATATAATAAGATCATTATAGTACACTCGATCATTCGGCCAAATTAATAAATGTGTGATCGTCTAATAATGTAGGACCCGTTGTGTGTGTAATAACCAAGAGGTTCTTTAATTGGTATATGACAGCAGTTAAATAATGAAGATGATTGATAAATCTTTAAGGATTAAGAGTACTTAATGAATTATATTTCATGAAACTAGAAAGTTATGTTAATTTACTATTAAATAACAAAATAATTAAAAAAAAATAGGGGAGTGGTCGAGCCCCCCACACGCCCAGACCAGTGGAAAACTTTCCAACTATCTATAGCTTTTCTTCCTGAAAAGACAGGGGTATTGAAGATGCATAATGCACTGGGTAGGTAGGGAGGTACAGAGTATTCTCAGTTCCAAACCAAATCAAAAGTACATTAGTACATCAACATTACAATGGCTCCACCAGCCCCACAATGCTTCCAGTAGAAAAGTAGTTGTTTTACCAATGGCAAAGGATCGAATCTGAAGTCCCGGGATCACTCAGACACGAGAGTTTACTTTGGATGCAACCCCTTTCGGTCCTATAAGGTGACATTAAGAGATCAACCCTTAGATACAGCACGTAGTCGAAACTGAAGTCCCAGCATCACTCAGTCACGAGCTTACTTATGGGGGTTTCCCTTCGGCTCAAATGTGACAATAGAGATCAAACTGTGGAGACAGCCCGAGACGTGACTGAAATTACGAGATTACTCAGACACTAGAACTTACTTATGGGAGAGGCTCCGTTTCGGCTCTATATTGTGACATTAGAGATCAACTCGTGAAGACAACCCGATAAATATGTAGAATAGTGTGATATGGTTTACCTTCCACACGGTGATAGATGCAAACATAGCATATTTAATTTTGTATAATTTACTTAATACCAAGAATACTGAAGGATTAAGATAGGTTTTGTGAATGTTGAGTAGGCCAGAGCCAAGTATAAGTAGATTAACCCGTATGAAGAGAGCTATTTAGATTGTTTGTTAAATAGGCCGTAGCCAAGTATGAGTAGATCAACCCATAGGAATAGCGCTACTAAGAGTTTGTTGAATAGGCCGTAGCCAGGTATGAGTAGATCAACCCGTAGGAAGAGAGCCACTAAGAGAGTTTGTTGAATAGGCCGTAGCCAAGTACGAGTAGATCAACCCGTAAGAAGAGAGCTACTAAGATTGTTAAATAGGCCGTAGCCAGGTATGAGTAGGTCAAGCCGTAGGAAGAGAGCTACTAGGAGTGTTTGTTGTATAGGTCGTAGTTAGGTATGAGTAGATCAACCCGTAGGAAGAGAGCTACTAAGAGTTTGTCAAGTAGGCCAAAGCCAAATTTTAATAAGAATATATTTGTATTGTATTTAATGTAGTATTTAAATAAACTTTTACGCTAAAGATGGCTTAGTAAATAACCATAAACAAGTTTGTTTGTTTGGAGACCAAAAACAAGGCTATCAATATCTTAATTTTAGTTAAATGAATTACCGAAATAGGCTTATTGTAAGAGTATTGTATTATCGTTTACATAAATAGACGTTTGAGAAAATATCGCTGAAATCGACTTAACATTTTTAAACAATATAATAAACATTGAAACTAATTTATTTAATTATCTAAATTATTATAAATGCTAATTCAATGCGATACGTTCGAGACCTATCCTAACATTACGTTAAAATAAATTTAACTAAAATGGACTAGGAAACAAACGTATAATAAAATAAAACGCGAATTGTAAATAGACGATAATAGTATTGAGCAAATGAGTAATTCAGAGATAGCATGTTTTATAAAATATTCATAGGCAGATTAATGTTACGATAATTCATATTAAGTAGTCAGGTAATATTTCAGTATGAATAGTTTCGAGGATTAGAGTGCATTAAGAATGTTACAGATCACTAATTGTTCCCTATACCATACTCTGACGTTGAACCAGACTCAGAACAACGCATCTGTATAATAATAAGTCACTATATAAAGCAACAATCGTCCCACAGATGGATTAAAGGAGTCTTGATCTCAGAGTATTACGAATCATTTCTAATATCAAAGTAACACGATAAATCGACTTACGAAATAAGGGAAATAATACAAACATGCACATAAATCTAAAAATGGCATAGAAATAGAATAAACTTAAATGATAAAATAGACAACTTATATTATTAAGACACATGCACTTAAATCGTATTGCTGAAATAAAATTAATAAGTCTAAGTAAATGCTGAAAGAATAAATAGATGCTGCAAATAACATTATTAGTTACACAATTAATAATTATTTAGGTCACACAAAGCATTAGCGTTTGTGGATCATCTGTTTTCTTCCGTTTTTGATCATTATTTCATTCATCATTTTATATCTTAATATTTTAAATGTTCTCCTACGCTAGCTGAAATCCCTAGCAAAACCCTAGCTAGTCCTAAATTATTTAGCACATCTATTAATGTTTAAATACCTTGTGAATTTATTATTTGCAAAAGTATACCTAGCTATTCGTTAAACCTAATAATAAAAGTTCGTCTCAATTCCAATAATCTTTGCTAGCTGGAAACCCTATTAAAACCCTAGCTATTCCTATATCTAATGCAAAATTGAATTTAAATTATTAAAATTACAATTTGATAATAATGAATTTAATCTACTCTAAGCTGATTGAATCCTATTCTAAATATCCTGAAAACACGAGGAAAGAATTAAGGTTAGTATAGTCAAGAAAACGAAACGGACTCACTGGATTACGCCAACCTCGAACCTGCTACACGCTAATCAGGTACCAGCAATCAGGCGGGTTCCTGATCATCACGCCAACCAGGACTCACTCGCGATTCACTCCCGAATTTAATTGAATTTAACACTATAAAATTTAAAATAAATGAACCAAGCGAATCGGGCAGTGTCTCGACCAGCACGGAGGGGAGCCTTTTTTACAGACCCGATGAGTGTTCTTCCAATTTTTGTTGCCAGCGCGCCGAATGAGAAAAGAGCGCGAGACCCTCCATTCAGGCTCTTTTATAGGGCTTCCCCTCGTCATTCCTTCGTCACTCTATCCTTCGTTCATTCTTCCCTCCATTTTCCCAAAACCTTCATTCAATTCATTTCTATTGGTTATCACTAATTTAAGTTACCTATATGCTCAATTCTATTGGTTCGGGCCAAAATACTACGCTGTACATCATCCAACTACCTTCATAAATTATAAATGTATTATTCCTAAACGAAATCATTCAAAATCAAAACATATACTAATATCGTAGTTTTATCGAATTAATTAAATATATAATATAAATTTTAATCTACTATAACATTTATTTCTAAAGACACGGATAGACATACAATCGTACCCTTTCTTCCATTATTTTTCCTAGTCAAGATTCAAGATTCAAGATTTATTTATTTGTAAAACATGCATATAAATACATGCAGATGTTGACAATATAATAACGTTCGACATGTTTAGCCTGTACGGCATACAAAAATATGTGGTTACACAGATGGTTCACATTATACATCAAGTCCATTTTATACCATTAATCGTCATCACATTACAATTTTCAAATACATTTAAATAAATAATAATTGTCAGTCAAAAATAAAAGAACGATGTCACAATGATGTTAATAAATATAAATAAATATTCGTTTAATTTAAATTTAAATTCTTTCCACATATGTACGTAAAATATCATTCAATTCATAGTTTATCTGTGGTAGTAAATTGTGTTCGGTTAAATAAATTTTTCCTTCTAAAGTTAATTAAGTAATCTTATTTTTACGATAATGCTTTCTTATTTTATTACTAACTTTTATCACAAAATAATATCTTATAATCAATGAATTTCTATTAATTTATATACGCAAAGCGCCCTCTTCACGAAAAAATGTAGAATATGTTTCCAACTTTTTATTCTTCTGTAAAATTTGACAGAGAAAGAATTAATTTTAAGTCCTTATTGTATGCCTATAAGTTAACTAAATCCTACTCAAAATTTATTAAATATTCTAATTTATAAATTTTGTAACATATATGTTTTTCTTATGAAAATAGTAGTTTTATTTATTCAGATCCATTATGACGTACATTTTTTTTTATACCACTGAGGTGGCAAACAAACATACGGCCCACCCGATGGTAAGTGGTTACCGTAGCCATTTTGAACATCGATTTAACAATGCATCAATATCAAACAACATAAATTAATATTAAATGGACGTTCATATAGCATTAATTTTGTTAGATCGTTTTTTAGCTTTATACATTTTTCTGTAAACATTAAAATATTAATTTTTTAATTTAAATTTCTTGCAAGTTCAACACTTCTCTACAAGATGGCGTTAAATGTATTTTTTTTTTACACATATGACGAACCGTTACAAACTTACATAAAAATACATAGTATCTCTAATTTGTAGTCTTGATACTTTAAGACTTTTTAATAAGTAATGAAATAGGAACTATCTTTAATTAAATTAGGCAATTAAAAAGTCGCATTGAAATTGTTAGGTACCTCAATTTAAGAACTACGATACCATAGAGTTACATGGTAAAAGTTCTAATATCATTCTTTATATTGCGGCTTAGATTAAGCAAGTGTCGCGGTTTAAACATTTATTATAACTACTTTTTATCTTTTTATAATACATCTAAATGAAATTCTGTTTGGCACAAACGGGAGATTTTTTAGTATTTAAGTAAGCTAAGACCATGAGTATAGGTAGATCCATACATTTGGGATAGTACCTGCGTGGTAGGTGTATTTTTATTTATTCGAGGTGATATGTAACCTAGCAACAGTCACTAAAATAAACATTTTAACTAACAATCATGTTATAAAGATCTATTATATTTTGTTTTTAATTCATGTAATAGAATTTATTCCTTGTTATACCTAATCTGTTCTGTTGTGGTAATAGCTAAATATTTAGTTCGTAAACATGGATGTGAGAACTATAGGAATCGCCCCAAATCCAGAATGTTTAAAAGGAGTGGTTGCATGCCAGTGTGAACTAGGTCGAGAGAGAGTTACTTACTGCTCCACCTTACAAACGAGCAGCCTCACCACCATGTGATGAATCAAAGTCAAGGTACTCGACAGCACCGTGCGCAAGGGACCTCGAACAATACAAATGCCCCATAAGCCATATATTGGTCACATTTAAATCGCCCCTACATCCCAACGAAGTGTTCAACAAGGTCTTCCCAGCAAATACGCCAATAAAATACGTCAAACGCAAATTAGCCAAATTACTCTCGGTGTCAAATAATAATCTTCTATTGACTAAAAATAGAACCGTACTGAAGGAAACCAGTGTACTGTCCGATCTAAAGACTGATGCACTCGGAAACTTAGTTATTGACGTTTTTACGAAAGATTCTGATGAATTCTCATTGTCATCTGTACCAAAAGAATCTTATGTGCATGAACTTCTACATGCTGTTATACCTAAGAAAAAGACGATGCCTTTTATAGCGATAAAGTTCAGAGTTCGCAATCAAAACGGCATATTTACTCGTTCATACCATTCAATAATGAAAGTTCATGAAATTAAAAAGAATTTAGCAGGACTTTTCCAAGTAGACCCAGATAACATAGTACTTTTACGTGGCAAAAATCCGTTAAAAGATCGCATGGCTCTATCGGATCTTGATTATGATAAATACGGAATAGTCGAGGTAGAACTGTTAACGAAAAATAACGAGAAATTAAATTTCGATAAACTATACAAAGAAATGCCTATTAATGATGTTTTAACTGTCATGGTACCTTTTGGTAGTACTGTGAAGCAGATAAACGTTGAAATTTTTTCGAAAGCTATGGAAAAACCTTATTTGGGCGGATATAGAAATGTTTTCACAGGTGATATTTTGATTTATTAATAATACTTTTCAGTAATAATTTTATTGCTCAAATAGCAATGATTTCTTTTATCCAGCTGAATAGTAATGAAGGAAAAAGATAAACTAATCTATAAAATAATTTTCAGGAACGATTTATCATCACGCATATACACAAACACCTCAAAAACCAGAGAAATTACCTCCTGAGAGAAAAAGCTGCAGGGACACCCAAACAGCAGAAGAAAAAGAAAAAATATATGTGAGATGATAAATTTATAGCTGCTCCATAATTTGTTTCACATTTTCCTTTTTAACCGAAAATGGGAAAAAGTTGTATGCTCGCTTATTTTTAGTTCAATTAAAGATAAGGTTGATAATGCAAATTTTTTCAGATTCGAATGAGTTTTATATAATTTTTTTTTTAATTTTCCAGGATACACCATATAGCCGATCTACGCAAATGAACACCGTACATGCTTACATCCCGAATGTAACGGATAAAATTATTATACCAAAACCATATGAGACTTATGAAAAAATGATTTTTCGTTTGAATCACAATCACTACGCTGTAGTTATCCAACGTGCCTTCAGACATCATCAGTTTAGACAAAAAGTAAAAAAATGGATTAGAGAATGCATGTAAGATGATATTTGGCTACTATTTATCTTTATGGCTCTACATAGAGACAATGGACTTTTTTCTGCGCAACATCCCATTGCCATATTTTGATGCATAAAAAATTATAATTTCGATCCACGAGCTATTCCTCGTCTATGTACGTCCATAAAGATAGCAGTAATTGATAAGGTTTAAAAATAAATAACATTGATGCTATTTTCTATAGGGAGAGGATAGCAAAAATGAAAGAAGAAAATAGACTAGAGCGAGAAGCTATGGAGCGGCGTCTACGTCGCGATCTAATAACGAAAACATTTCCGAAAACACGTGAAGATTTTGATCAACTGTATGCTATGGTTAGAAAATTATTAATAGATAGGTAGTTAATTAGGTACCTACTTAATATTATTTAATAAATTAATTAAACCTGTACTCTTTTTAGGTTGACCGCTGGAAACACGCAGAAATAGCTCGAATTTCACAATTACATTCCAAAGGTCCCAAAATTGCTGAATTTACATTGCTTCTCGATAAGGAAGTGGAATTACTACGTTGTATTGAAGCTTATAGAATAAAAGTGAAAGAAGACAGCAGAAAGATCAAAGAGAAAAAATTTTTAGAAGAAATTTCTAAACCCGTCGCATGGTTTGGCAGGGATGGTAAACTAATTACAATGGAGACGGTAGAAATACAGAAAGCACAAAAACTCAAGGAATTGTACAACTCTTTTATCCGTGAAGATATGACAGTGAAAGAACGCATGGAGCTCCTCGTTGATTTGAAATTTGCTCTACAAGAGTTCCGTCACCCATTAGCTGAGGAAATAATAATACTATTAGATAGAGAATGTGATCTTCTCATCAGAAGATGTAACGAGCACCAACTTGAATTTTTGAGACGAAGAATCGCAGCAAGTGTATTCCAATTGATTAAAACATCAGAACTGAATTCTGGAGTGACTAAATGTAAAGACATTAGAGACTATAGAAAAATGGAGAACAATAGACTGTATTTTTGCGAGTTGTGTCATCAAGTTAAATCTTACACAAATTTCCCATTGAATGCCAAAATGAGCGGTTACTTGGTATGCACTTCGTGTTCGTGGAAAGATGTAACTGAACGTTCTTGGGTTGATATGACTCCATACAGGTTTATTCTACGTGCCGTGCAGCGTGACGAGCGGAGACGTAAATGTTGGGGTTCTCTAGCATTCGTCCTACAAGATAAGGATATATTTTTTATTGTCGAAAAACTTTGGCATTCTCATTCTGCGATAAGTGAATGTAACGATGTTACTGAACTTAGATTATGCCGATGGCATGTTAATGAAGACTGGTCTCCATGGAACTGCTTTTTGGTTACCGTCCAAGAAATGAAAGCACATTTGAAACTTGAAATGCCAGAAGAGGTGTATGATGAGGAATTGGTACAAAAGGTGCACAATAAACATAAATTGGCTAAGGCTAACTTTGAACAACTGATAACTGTGAATAAACGATTCACAGAAACGGGCAATTGGCAAGGTGTTCGCGCCCCAGCCGTAGCGCATGTAGAAGCTGTAGATCAGATCTAAGTACTTAATTGTTATTTAGAAATTTTTAGGATTATTTATTATCAATCAATATTGTATGTATGCATTGTATTGTTGTTATCACTTTATGTTTTATAGTTCACAAATGTTAATTGTTTGTATTAATTTTTAACCATGTTATTCAATTCACATTTTAGTGCTATGTCTATCAATGTTCGTCTATTCTTATGACTAGGGTCATCGCGTTCTATATAAAAATTTGGTACAAAATAATATTTAAGCTGTTTTGTTTCTTTCACCGTAAGATAGTTTCCAAAACATAATTGTCTTTTTTACCTAGTCATAAGATTAGATTTTAAATAGGCTTAAATAAAGATGTAAAATTTTATTAAAAAGGTATTTTCTACATTTCCAAGATTTACATCAAAGTAGTGATGATAAAATAATAAGTCCAAAATATTTAAATTGTCTTCTTTTAATAATTACACGTAATACTTTATAACATAATTACATCATACATGTACAATAATAATTTCTCAAGATATCAAACTCTCGCGATAGTCTAAAACAACATATAATATTAAAAAACACAAGTGTGATAAAACGGTAAAATTTTATAACGAAATGCATTTTAGAACTACTCGTAGTTAATACAACATATGTCAATAAATTACGTAATTATAATTTAGGCAATATGAATCAATAGCTGTACAACGAATACGAAGGAAATCCTTTAACTCGATAGAGTACCTTCCATGTTATAGATTTTGTTTGATAAATTTCACAAATAAAAAACTACAATGGTTCACTAATCCCACATAATCTTATAAAATAAGTAAAGCTGTGAAAATATATTTGTTTTTTACACTCATCGGTAAAATTACACTGTAGCGGGAAATATGCCAAATTGTCATAATAATCCTAGGTCTTTTTATACCCTATTTTATCTGCCGTTACATCTACTCGCGTGGTGAAATGGCGTTACAAAATCGCCATATCAAATCCCACAGAGAGAATCGCTACTAATTTCGTATGAAAATATGAAATATCATTAGGTTCATTATTCTAATTTAGAAAAAGAAATTTAAATTTACATTTGTTGATATTGCTTAATCGATTATAATCTAACATTCTAAAGAATCTGACATGTGTTCTTCAAACGCAGTGTCCAATCCATAGAATCAATTCATAAGGTATAGTCAGCGGTCCATTCTACTTCACACGAAATTTTATTTGAAAATCTCTTTCAGGAATGGAGAAGTTACTCAATTATAGAAAACATTATTATAAAACATTTTATCTCTTTAAGATTTAATTAAAATTATATATAAATATATAAACTTAATAATCCCCCATTGACCTAAAACACATCTAAAGTGCCAATCTTATTCAAGATTAAGTAGTTTGTGTGCCTTAAGATCTTTTAATTTTAATGAACCTAGACACGACACCGATCTAACAGACAATCAGTCGGGTTGCGAACAGAAGTCTCGAAATCGAATTGAAAGGAAATAATTATCATTCTTTCGCTGTCTAGTCCCTATAACTATTGGTTAAAACTCCAACATCATAGATTGTCCTATTTATTTATAACTAATCATATATCATTCTCTCGTTTGCGAGCAACTAACGACGTTAGTGTTTGTACATTTTGTATCGCCTCGTAACAGGGCGGCGTTCACTATCCTTGTACAAATAAATTCCAGCAACAGTACTATGCACGCTAGTGCATAGCCAACAGGCCAGAGCGCGTCGCACGCATCTCATACGATCGAACAAAATAAACCGAGTCTAGTTTCTCTAATTTACCCAACAAAGACTGAACTATATTGTTACTAGCTAAAATTTATTTACAATAAATGGTTGTGCCTCATGGGAACGATATTCTAATAATTTGTAATCCTCTCGGAGCGGTATAATACAAAAAGTGGTGACACAATATTCACATAAAAGAATGCAATATCTATTATACACTTACACAACTATTTTTGCACTTTTATATTGCCAGTTCTGTTGCTTAAACTATGAATATCTCAATTTAATCAAGAATTCATAACACATTTCCTTTACGCAACTATTAATTAACAGTCTATTTAATATATATATTTACATTTATATTTTAGAGAAGGAAGAGATATTAATACAAAGAGAGGTTCCTAATAACTGTGTGCAGTCATACATCCACCATGTACATATCGTATGGTCGTTAACTATTACAAAATGGCATGTACGGTATTACCCAGGATTCACAATATACAAGGTTTAATTGGTGATTTGATTTATATTTTACAAGTCTTTTCACAATACATTATTTGATCTCCATTACTCTGTCAGGTATATGTTATTAGATTCACCTCTGAAGCATAGTTTGAACTAATTTAGTAATTTAGTCGTACGGAAAGGTATTTAATAAAAAAAAAAAAATAGGTACTTAATTAAAATGTTGTTGTTCAGACAATAACTACTAAATTTTAAGTCAACTGACTAAATTATTAAAGCAGTTAAAACTGTTTTTATTTAACACATGGAAAATAAATTAAATTGTTACAACTTATACCTTTAAATTTTCATTTAATATCAATGTTTTATAGAATTCGCTTTTTTAATATTGATATGATATAAGTAATCAATGAATGGTAAGTCATAATTTAAAACCGATAACATAAAAAAGGAACACACTGCATGTTACATTGTCAATTAAATTTCACTATGATTAACAAAACATCTCCATCTGTAATATTAAGTTCTGCAAAATGTTTATTTTGGAGTTTCAATGGTAACCAACTTTCCATAGACGACGACATTCTATCCGAGCCATGTACTGTAGTTCATACTATAGTTAAGGTTACTAAGGGACATGTCCTGAGGAACGTCGGAAGGCGATGTCTG